GAAGGAAGGAAGGAAGGAAGGAAGGAAGGAAGGAAGGAAGGTCCAACCCATCCAATATATTTTACTGTTGCTTTTCATACCTACTTACAAGTTGCCTATTATTTCCCATGAGCAGCTGAACCAAAGACATTTAAGTTATCTACTACAGTTAAAAAAAAAAAAGATTTCTCAGGAACTTAACTCTGTCAGCCCAGCTGGCTTGGTCAGTTTAAAGATGTATAGCTCCTTAATTCAGTCTTTCCAGTGGGCTAGCATTCAGAAGGTAGCGCATATTACATGGTAGGAAAAGTGTCCAAGCACCATAAAAGATTAAGTTTAAAGAGGATGCCAACAGATGTTCTGCTCTTGGGCAAATCCCAGTGATTTTCTCAACTTTAAAATGAGGTCTTGGACTGCCCTCTGGTGGTTTACTAGAAGACATCATCTGCTCCATGTCATATTTTAATATTTCAAGTTTACAATTGATATACATGGTTTTATGTTTGAGTGATGACCTTCAGCATTGTGCTGCTGTGTGTTGTGAATTTTGCTACTCGTTGCAAACATAGACACTTTGCTTCTATGCTTTGCGAAGGCACTTCTGTTCTTCCTAAGTTGTTGCTCTTAATCCTTGAGATTTTCTTTCATTTTCTTTGCCTCAATTGTTTTTCATTATACGCGCTGTCACTGCCATCTGGGTCTCTTGTTTTTATTGATGACCCTATAGCACTACCCCTGAACATGGCAGTCATGTGTAAACGAAATCATGTGTGTGGCCGCTGAATTAAAGAATGGTGAATGCAAATGAAATTAGAGATGTTTAGGACAAAACAACGAAAAATAGTATTGAAGAGAAAGAGGGGCAAAATTATATCAAACAGCACTGAAAAAAATTCTATTCTGCAAACAGTGGAATGAGCTTATTTGCACTGTTGTGCATTGCACTAAACTCATTGAGGGTTGGCCCTCTGAGTACCACTGAGTAGCAAGGTCCAGATGTGGGGGGTTTTTTCCATGTCAAATCCAAATCTGGTTGTGAAAATATAAGCAATCTATTACTATTATTGTGGTCGGTTGCACAGTCAGCCAGATGTTCAGATGGATTTGGCATTTTTGTCCGCCTATCAAGTCCTTCCCAAGGACCTGGGATAGGCAGATGTTGTTGTTTAATAATATTAAAGGTATCATTGCAGGATGCAAGCTGTTCCAAGTAAAGCTGCCTTTTGCAATTGACTGATGGTGATTTTGTCAATGCCAATGATGATGTTCAAGTGGTGCTCCAGATGTTTTGGGATTGTACCCAAAGAATCTATTACTATTGGTACTATCTTAGCTTTCTTTTGCTGCAGTTGTTCTATTTGTAGGCCTTTGTAATTTGTTATTTTCTCCAGTTCTTTCTCTTCTATTCTGCTGTCTCCAGGTATTGCAATGTCCATTATCTAGAATTTTTTGTCTTTCTTATCAACAATTGTTAAGTGGGGTGTTGTATGCTTGTCTGTTTGAATTCTAAAGTCCCAGAGCACTTTAGCTTCTTCATAAATTACTTTGTCTGTTTTGTGGTCCCACCAGTTCTTGCTTGCAGGCAAATGGTATTTCTTGCAGATATTCCAGGGCACCATTGTTGCTACTCTGTCATGCTGTTGTTTGTAGTCAGTCTGTGCAATCTTCCTGCAGCAGTTAACTAGGTAGTCCACTGTTTTTCAGATTCTTTGCAGAGGTGGCATTTGCTGCCTGTTGCTGTCTTCTCAGTTCTGGCTTTGTATGCATTTGTTCTTAAGGCTTGGTTTTGTGCAGCCAGAATTAGCCATTCTGTCTCTTTCTTCAACTTTCCTGCTTTTAGCCATTGCCAGGTCTTGTTGTTATCTGCTTTGCCTGCTAGTTTTTTATGTACTGGCCATATAATACTTTCCCTTGCCATGTAATACTTTGTCTTTTCTGTTCTTCATTAGGTCTTTCTTGTAGGCCAGTTTGGTCTCTTTGGTATTCAATAAACCTTCATGGCATACTAGCTTCAGTCCATCATCTTCACTGTCCTTCATATATTATTTCAATACCCTTTTTTCTTCTTCAACTGTCTGGTGTACTTGTAACAATACACGCCCACCTATGCTGCTTGGTAGGTAGAGTCTGTCAATATTGCTGCGTGGATGAAGGGCATGATTCATTGTCATTATTTTTCTGGTCTTCCTAGTTCAGCTTGAGTCCAGTCCACTATTCCAGCTGGGTATCTAATGACTGGAATTTCCCAGGTGTTCATTGCCTTGATGGTATTTCCTCCACTAAGTTTAGACTTTACGATCTTCTTCACTCTCCTTATGTATTCACTACTAACCTTCTTCTTGATTTCAGTGTGCTTGATGTTGTCAGCCTGAAGGATGCCCTGGTATTTGTAGTGATCTTCTTCATCCAGACTCTTGATGT